GCTAGCCTTTACGTGAAAACTATAAAAAAACCGATAGTGAGCTGAGGCAGAACCACAGTTAACTATTAATTTGAGTGAAACACAAAAAAGAAGTAATCTACCGAACGTATAGCTTAGAATAGATTCTTTGGATTGGAAATGATACTTTTGTTGCTTAAGAACACAGCAAAAGTTTGAGAAATGTAAATCACGTTAGGACGGCAAGGTAAATAAGTCAGTGCGTTTTCAAACCTGCCCGCCGTTTCCTTTTTGCGACCTTGAACGGCCTGACACGAGGCGGTCATTCCGTATTTGATTTGTTGTGGGTCGGTTGGTTGTCCTCTGGGTTGCACGAATATCAGGTTTTCTTGTATTCGCGTCTTTTTTGGCTGTAGCAAATTCACAAAATCAATGCCAAAAGCGTTTATTGTGCTTACTGTGTTTTGTAGTGTACAATTTGGCTCTTTTGTTGCTACGTAACTTGACCTGGGATACCAATTACCCTTCTGAACCTCACTCTCCTTGTTTAAAATTCGTTGGGGTCCGCAAAACTGCGTATTCATTATAAATTATCAGTTAAAGATACTATGAATTTGTGTGAATCCTTGTTTTCTGCAAGAATTAAGACGACATGACGAGTAACCCGTAATTCCTAAATGCTTGTAGTCCTTTCTTCAGATACTGGAGTATTATCGCATGAAATGGCTGTTCTTTCAGTAATTAACGAGTAATGTTTGTGGTAATTTATGTTCCAGAAACATTTCGGTCGACTTAAGTGAGGCGTTTCAACGCATAATACTGAGCAGGCGTTTTGGAAACTGGATTGAATTCCATGGTGTGTTTAAGGAGTTCCAAAAAGTATGGATGCATAATTCCATCCCTTTTCAGACCACCCGTACACATAACATTCACGGCGAAAGTAAACTGCTAAAGGACGTGCGATTTAAATACAGTTTTGTGGTGTTATGAACTAGATGCAGGCACTTGCGAGTGTAATTGTCGAACATTTATGGCTTGTCGATATCCCTGACGTCATATAATACTGACATATGTAAAAAGACCAACTCTTACAGGTAAGCTTAATCAACTACGAAATAAACTAATTAGCTCATCACATACTTAGACCATGCAGCCGATGGAAGTTAAATAGCACGCATAACTTCCATTATAATACAACATCATTACCCAGACGGAGTGAAGAGTATATACGAATCCAAAGAAGCCAGAAAGTTCATAAACAACAGATAGTTGAAAAATATGGTGAACACTTCGCCATGGTGGTGGAGAAAAAAGTAGACAATTATCCCTTAAAAATCAATAATTAGGTAAGACTGCCATTTCTCTTCCTGCAGTCCTATTTACGATCAGTATATTCGGATGAATAGTTGGAGTGGCATTGTTTCCTAATCACATGGTCTCCGGAATCAAGCATATAATAACTAAAAGGATGTAACACTTGGAGAAGGTCGGAAGTGGTGAACGTGGAGATATTCATTCAATCGAATGGCATGAGTCAGTGTTGCAGACGCGCTCATTATGTTTAACTTATTTATATTCACATTAAATATATTATTCTATCCCAAGCATAAATGTGTTCTTCAGAAGTACTAAGTATTGTTATTTGTCGCGATACGATGGGTCAGTGTAGATAGTTATGCGATTTTCACGTAAGATCTTACAGACTAGGCAATCAAACGATAAATTTACCGTTATCGGACAACGTCTATTATGAAAGTAGTATTAGTACCTAACTAGACTATACACATACTGTAAAGATTTAAAGTGCGAAAAACTACAGTTGTTATATTTATATTGTATTTAGATAACGTATTAGATGAATAAACGCGGTAGTGGTCAATACAAAACACAGTTATCGTCAATGTGTGAATTGTTTCTCCGCATAAACTTCCATATTAAGAAATTCGCCAAGTTGTTCACCTGCATAGACTTGATTATTACAAAGATTTGAGCCTTTCAATTAGTTGACAGAAGTCATAAGTTGTATAACAAAATGTATGGATAGCTTGCTCAATGCAATTCTGAAAAACAACAAATCAATCGTGAAAGAAAAGATTAAACTTCGTTATCAGTATCAAGTTCCATAAGTAAATGAAATAGCAATTGATAGGATGTACCTGTAAGTGTTTTACTTGCTGTAAACAGTGCTCTTCATTTTCTAACCTTCCTACAATTTCATCTAGTTATTCGGTATTAACAAACAAACGAAGGGACTCACAAACTTTAATTAGTTATATGAAATTTGAGAAAAATCCAATTACACCGTTCATAATACTGTTTACATACAATAATGAAATAACTGGTAACCACTATTTAGCGATTACCCGTCAACATGCATTAACACTTTGTTTATGATTTAGTCAGTGATTTCGGATTCCGTTAGCAGAAATTTATATTTTAACCCTATACGAGACATCGTAAAATAGTATTATCTACATGTTTTAGTTACCATGCTCATAACAAACACGCATCGCTTTACTTAAGAAGAGTATTTGGCTAATTTATGTGGCACTTACAGTAATGTTCTACACAATTTCTGTATAAATTCAGAAAGCGGACAGAAAAATCTATCAACACCCATTGTTACTAACATATTTTTTTTCTCACATTACGTAATAACATATCAGTCCAGTTAACAACGATGATACTTATCATGGATTAAACTGTTTACGGCTGTATATTAATAGTTCATATCGTAATGTAGCACGTTATATATTGATGTCCACTTTGAAGCAGGAGCGATCTGAAACAACAACACTACAGTGAGGACCGGTAAGTGCCGTCAAAGTAAGAACACAATGTACTGGTACAACATATATTTTTAAAATTGAAAGACACGGTTGAGTGCAAAAGGGGAAACTTTCTACAGAATAGTTTTATTCATTGTTCTGCTCGTTCAGATCGCGTAGGGCTTCTTCCTATATTTCCAGTGCGTTTACTCTTTGTTGCCCTGCTATAGAAAAACAAACTTCCATTAGGAACGTCGCATGGAATGATTATTATTACCATTACAAGATTCATGAATAGTTTGACTCTCAATTAAAATTTATAAACAACTACTAACACCCACGTTCATCCCCATACAACCAATAAAAGGGAAATAAAGCGAAATTTCCCCTTTCTGTCGCTCTGTTTTTCAAATGTCGCTAAATTGCCGACTTTTACCTTAAATATTCGACGAATTTCCGATTCGCACCCTAAATATCCGACGAATTGTCTACTTTTCTACTACATGCACACCGATGTAATTAAGCGCCCACTTTTAAAACGCTTCTGTATTTACCCCAACCGCCTCCTGTGTTCACCTTCATTCCCACAACACAGCACACGAATAATGTAATGTACGTAATACATGGTATAAGTTCCAAATTTTTATTGAAAACAAAAAGCTTATTATTGTACAACGTCATGAGCACTTGGCAGATGGTAGAGCATCAATGTTCCTGATGTAATTGCAATTGTCACGGACCAGATATTTCACGTATTGTTTCTTTCCATCAGGCCTTTTGAACTATGGAGACTCAAATAATTCTTGTGAATTCTAAAATGTAATGAAGAAGAACGTTACTATATCTAGGAAACTTGTTTTGCACAACAAGGTACTTGAAGCTGAACTTACGGTTATATTCTTAAACACGGAAGACTCTACCTATAGATAACGGGAAAACAATAATCACTTTAAAGTCGTACGTACGTGTTCTTTCTTCCGTCGATGACTCTTCTGTACTTTGTCTCTTATGTCGTGAAAATAACTTTGAGTAGCCATGTCATATAGTTTCACAAGGTCTTTCTCAGTGACAGATGACGACAGGGATCGATTAGTAAGTGCAACTGAAGTTTAAAAACCTTATTTATCTTACTTCGTACGCAGCCATAAAACCGGCACTTCTGAATCGCTCGTTTTGATGAAGTACCAAGTAACGTGAAATTAATGGCGACTTCAGGTTCCATGATGTAGGACAGAAGATATCGCATGGAGGTTTTAGGATCATCATTCATTAAACGCGTCAACATGGCCATCTGTAATAGGAATGAAGGATAAAAATCATGTTGTGTGCTTACAAATCTGTCCCTCACGTGCAGGCGAAAAAGCGACATTTCCCCTTTATTTACGCTTTCGTCCGCTTTATTCCCCCTTTTTTCGCTTTTATTTCCACTTTATTGGTTGTTTGGGTCACTACCATAATAAGGGAGGTAAGTCATATGTAAATTATTCTACAGCTTGTTTTTGCTTGAAACTGTAATTTTGGTGTATTTTTGACTTGATAAACGATGAATTTCACTTGCCTGAGTTTGCGTTGTTACAAATTACCAAGTTAGGCTGACTAAACATTCATCCAGGTTGTCAGCTCCAAATACGTCAGGCAACCAATAGACTGCAATAAACGCCATGTAAAACGCATAAATATTACAAAAATTAACATGTGACGGAAAAATACTGTGACTAGCCGACAAAAAACGACGTTAGAAATCCGCGACAACATGTAACACATAAGCGAGAATCAATGACATGACTTTTCGACCATGCCCGTTAGGACTAAACTTCCCGTTCGAATAGCGCGCTAGACAAAATCAATTGGTAATTGGTTTGTGTCATCGAAATTCTTATTTGATTTTTCAAGGTAGGCATTTTCTTTTAACCCAAATATGTATAAACGTAGCAATTGGGGAAGCCATTTGTTTCTAGCTGCATTCAAAGCTCGTTGCTCTTAAGAATTTAATCACGGAACAAATTATTGGCTTTAATATCCACTTTAAAACAATAAAAATAGTCAATGATATAATTTTTAAAGCAATCAATATTGTTGTGTTACAGGCGAATTAGAGAAGCCTGAAGACAGAAGGTGTGGAAAATTATTCACTAATGTATGTGGAGGTATGAACAGCATATCTAACCATAGTTGTTTTAGTGTTATTTCTCTCACATGATCAAGAGATATTAGCTCTAAATGAACTGTCTAATTCATTAGAATTGATGCAACTGAGTGACTAGACTACTTACAATGGACAGTATCAAAGATCGTGAAATGTTTCTTTATATGAAGAACAGGGCATACAAAAATCAGTCTGTTTACGCTAGCTCGACTCAAGATACTGGATTTTTCAATCATTTACAAATATTTGTCATGACCTCAACTTTTGCCCACATTCAGATTCATGCTTGTTGTTCTGATAACTTTCTTGTGATCATATTATGGTCGACAAACCAAATGTCTCATGGTGTCAGAGCATCTAACTTAACCAACACAATTGTCTCGAGACTGATACGTCTACCTTCCATAAAAATACTTCGACTGCTAAGTACTTGACCGGTTCAAGAGAACGTTTCAGGTCATATGACTGTCAACAATTTTCGAATTTCTCCGAAAGCTTCCGAGATTCTGTTCTCATGGTATAAACCTAGATCAGAAAAAATTGAAGATATTGGGTATTGAAAGCCGCAACTATTGTGTTTTGCGTTACGATAGGCACTTAAATCTGTTAGTTCGATATATCTGTTTAAAAGATTAGGATGTTTTCTGTTTTAACATCTCAGGTATTATTAAATGCTTAATATTTTGTGTTATTCATCAGTTTCATGCCAATATTTGTTTGCAGAAGGACAGGTGACTGTATAGTCACAATCCACACATATTTGATGACCTCATCGCTCCCGTCACCAACAGTCTAAGTAGATTTAGGTTTACGAGCTTTTGTCTCAACTAAATTCGTACTCATTTGTTCTTACTTCCAAAGTGTCAGTCACCTGTTTCTACTAAATACATAAACTAGTTGAACGGAAGCCTCAAGGCCTCAGTTCATTATGCAGCCATTTGAAAGAAAAAGATAGTTGCTACCTTTCGCGAGACTCCGAAAAGAGTACAAATGCACTTTTCTCACGAAAACGTTGTAGCAGATTATGGTTCGTCCCCAAGGAAAGTTAATTTGTGGGCTGTTGTTGTTTATGATGAACTTTATTAAATATCCAGGTATTTTTCCGAGAATCTATGTAATTTAAATTAGTGGTTAACAAATATTTTTTGCGTTCGTGGTGAAATTTCGGTAGCTTACTATGTACTACTGACGAAACTACAGGGTATGAGGGGTACTAAACTCAAATGGTTCAAATGGTTGAGTACGGAAGAGAAGAAGCTTTCGCTTAACGGGCTCCCGTGTCTGGTAGCAGTGGATCATCAATACCTCCAGGCAAGATTCTAGGTATATGAACTCATTCCAAAACTTTACATATCATTCTTCTACTTATACTAATTTCAAAATAGCCTTAGAACATCAGTATATATTTACATATACTTTGCTGTTCTTACATTGACTATTGGTCTGTCGTCCCTACTCCTATATTTTCGACCTCTTTTTAATATACTGGTTTAAAGTGTCACAACTCAGACCGACTGATTTCGCAAAAATTTACTTGATTGTTATCCGTATGATCTTAATCAACAGTGGTGCATTGGTCACATAATTGAACTGATAACCACAAGGTTCCAAATTCAGATCTCAGTACGTTTAACTTGGTTTATGCAGTCAGATTATTTACCACACAAAATTAATACGTGATTCATGGTAGAGTAAAAAGACTTGTTATTAGTTACTGATATCCACTTTAATGTGTCACAGGTCTAGATTTTAGTTTATATAATCGAATGTCAACTGTGTTCAAACGACGGTCTTCATATTGAACATGTATTTCGTCCTTGAAATTCAGCCCTTGCCGTTCGGTTTTATTCTTTACCCGAATGAAGATGTTTTTAACATTTTGTGTTGTTGAAAGTGAATGTTTCCGATACAGAAGCTGGTAGGGAATCCATGTAGTAGTTAGAGTGAGTTGATAAAATTTCACAACCCCCTTCTTTAGAGGCGCTTGAGAAAAGTGATGATTCATGCTAAGTGTGTATATATGGAGGCGAGCCGACAAAGTGAAAAGAGGTAAAAAGAAAATTAAGTTGGAGATAAACTTATTTACTTTGAGATGGAGCCCCTAAAAGCCCTGGAACAGTCGAGGGTGGGGAGGGTCCGCTCTCCCTCTCAAAATGATCTCACATGGCCACGTGCATACAGCCACTATCAAGCAAGTCCTACTCACTTCTTTCTTGCGACATTACTGTTGTTTACGAAATTGAGAGGACAAAAAGCGAATGTCCGGCGCTTTAACCGGGTCGGTGGATATGGAGGATCCATCTAGGATAGTTGGAAAGCCCTGATTCCAAACCAAAGGCACACATGAGCTCTAGGATCTTAAGGAAACAAGTGTTATATGAACCTTTTGTTGGCCACCAACTACCATGGGTTCGCATCTCCTTACGTTGATCCACTGCCTTGTGGATTAGACCTTTAGGTCGAAGGCTCCGGTTGTGGCCCCCTACGAAAACCACCCGCTTCGATCTGGGCACCCGGACAGTATCACAACCCACGCACAAATCAAGTGACTTTTGTGGAGCATATCTATTTGGTGCCCCTTCGTAACAATATTTTTGTGTTCAAATAAACAGATTGCGATGTAGCTAGACGATCATTCAGTGACAATGGTGATGACTAGTTTAGCAACAACATACCTGGACCCAACCAATCACAACGTCGTTTTAGAACTTCATTACCATTTTGAAGTAATCGGTAAGCCACTAGAACAGAAAAGCTGCCGAGTGCTCTTCAGTTATCAATGATAACTCAACCTACAAATATACATCTGACTAATAATACAACAAAATTACCAGTACTTAACGATAAGACATTATTACGAAAAACGACTTTACCTGATAATTCTGAATGTTTAGACTTCCCATTTGTGCGAATATTATGTTTATTTTGAGTTTCGCGTGTTTCAAAAAAGTCCAAATCCAGAACTTCGTTTATTTGACCTAAATATGAAAAAGAATAGGAATAAGAAATATTTACAAAATGATGGGATGTTTAATATTATATATCGGTTTTTTATAAGAACCATTTTAAAACAACGAAAGAATTAAACAGATTACAATGTATAATTGACCGAAAAGTATAGATGAGCATTGGTTGCATCTTCACGACGCCATGAAAATGGCGAGTAAAGCCGCTTGCGGCTTCGCGAAACGTCCCGCTTACAAGCACTGGGTCTCTTCTGGCTCCTTACAACTGATGGAAGCCCTTGTCGGTCTACTCCGGGTGACCGTGAGTTTGACCACAAACGAAGGCTGTTACGTAATAAAATCGGGCAAAGCTTGCCTAAGGACCGGGAAGCCTGGTGGTCGGAGCGTGCTAATGAGATGGAAGCAGCAGCTGCATCTGGTAACTGCCGGAAGCTCTTCCAACTCATCCGAGCCACTGGCAGCAAGAAGTCTGGTGTGAGCGAAACAATCTACGAGGATGATGGGATGCCAATCACTAACATCTCCCGACGTCTTGGACGATGGGCGGAATTTTTCGAAGGGCAGTTCAACTGGCCTGCTGCTCCGGCAACATCAACCAGCTTGTCCTGCCCCCCATGGCCGGTGACGACTGTTCCACCAAACGAGGCGGAAGTCCGCAAGGAACTCCAACTCTTGAAGCGCTACAAATCACCTGGCCCAGATGACTTACCTCCGGCTCTTTTTAAAGATGGTGGTGACTTTCTGACTAAGGAATTGACTGTGTTGTTTGGAAAGGTTTGGGAGCAAGAAAGTGTTCCAACATCATGGAATGAGTCAATAGTCGTCCCTATCTTTAAAAAGGGTTCACGTTGTTCCTGCAATAACTATCGGGGGATAAGTCTACTTCCGATTGCGTCCAAACTATTGGCTTCTATCATTCTTCGTAGGTTGTTTAAAACCCGAGAACGATTGACTCGCGAGGAGCAGGCTGGTTTTCGTTCTGGTCGAGGATGCATTGATCACATCTTCACCCTCCGCCAAATGTTAGAACACCGTCATACTTATCGCAGGCCAACAATCGTAGTGTTTCTTGATATCAGGGCTGCCTTCGATTCGTTGGACAGGACTGTTCTCTGGGATTGTCTATTGAAGAAGGGTGTGCCTGAGAAGTTCATTAACATCTTAAAGGCCCTGTATACGAACACCTCAGGCAGAGTGAGGGCATACAACCACCTTTCTCCGTTGTTCCATTCGAGCAGTGGGGTTAGGCAGGGTTGCCCGATCTCACCATTCCTCTTCAACTTTGCCCTCGACGACATTCTGGAAACAGCTCTGATGGATGTAAGTAATGGCGGTGTGGATATGTTGCCTGGAGAACGACTTCTCGATCTTGAGTACGCGGATGATATTGTCTTACTGTGCGATAATGCCCAAGGCATGCAATCAGCACTTAATCAGTTGGCAATCAGTGTCCGCAGGTACGGCATGTGCTTTGCACCCTCCAAGAGCAAAGTACTCCTACAAGACTGGCAGGATTCTAATCCTGTACTCACCCTGGATGGTGAGGAGATCGAAGTAGTTGAGAAGTTCGTGTATCTAGGTAGCTATATAAGTGCTGGTGGTGGCGTGAGTGATGAGATTGATGCACGTATAATGAAAGCCAGAGCGGCCTATTCCAATCTGGGTCATCATTGGCGCCTTCGTGATGTTAGTCTGGCTGTAAAAGGTCGGATCTACAACGCGTCGGTGAGAGCAGTTTTGCTCTATGCTTGTGAAACCTGGCCTCTCCGAGTTGAGGATGTTAGACGTCTCTCTGTGTTCGATCATCGTTGTCTCCGAAGGATTGTTGACATCCAGTGGCAACACCATGTTAGTAATGCAGAGGTTCGGCATCGTGTGTTCGGGCGCAGAGACGATAATTCAATTGGTGTCACCATCTTGAAACACCGACTTCGGTGGCTTGGACATGTTTTACGAATGTCGTCCCAGAGACTTCCACGTCGTGCATTATTTGCCGACCCTGGGACTGGTTGGAGAAAGCGGAGAGGAGGTCAGTGTATGACATGGTGTCGTGGCATGAAAGAGAGCTGCAAAGGGCTAGCTTCCGTTGGTCCTTCACGACTCCTTGGTTGGGGTCCGAGAGATGGTGCAACACAGTGGCTAGAGACGTTATCAGATATGGCTCAGAATAGAATCCAGTGGCAATCCTGCTGCAACCTTCTTTTACTTTCTACATAAAGAATGGTTCTAACTTTCCTAACTGAAAGAGTCTTCTGGTTGTACATTTCAGTCCGCCTTATCTTTTCATCCCTTCTCTTCCTACTTTCATTATTTTGTGTGGCGCATATGTACCTGGTGCCCTTTTGTACCAATATATATGTGTTTAAATAAATAAATAAATAATTGATCAGGTAGTGGAATGCATCATTTCATTCATTTGTTAAACTTACATTTCTGTCATCATAATACAAATATGTGGTGTTGAAAGA